TGCACTTCCTACTAAACTGCTTTTTTTAGGTTCTTAAGAAAATACACAATTAAAAAAATCTCCCTTGACTTGCTACCCCTAAAGATGAAGAAAATGGAATTTAGGGTAAAATAAATTCATCTTTTCCCCTTCTGCAAAAGCAGCAGATGGACTGCACATCCGGAGGTGCTGTTGTGCAGCATTACTGATGGTGCATAAAGGAAAGCCTCTTACCAGTCGTGTCTGTGGAAGCTAGTTTGCAGGCATATGTCAAAACGCACAGCAAGGAAGTCACACGCCACTATAAAAACACACCTTCGATAAGGTAGGTTTTAAAAGTCTAGTTGCAAAAAAAAAAAAAAAAAAAAAAAAGTCTAGTTGCTTCGGGTCCCCTGGATGGCTTAGTCGGTTAGGCAACCGACTTTGGCTTGGGTCGTGATCTCGCGGTTGGTGGGTTCGAGCACCGCATCTGGCTCTGTGCTGACAGCTCGGAGCCTGGAGTCTGTTTCGGATTCTATTTTGTAGCTGTTAAGCGAATGGAAGGGAACGCAGTAAGGAAGGGATCTAGGCCAGGTTACTGACCCATACTAAATTTCCTCCAAAAATGTATTTTTATCAAGGTCACTGATCTCAGAATAAACACACAGTAGCTCTAAGATGTCCTGCGGCGTAAGGAAAAAGAGAAGTATTTCCTAAAAGATACCTGCAAAACGCACACTCCCCTGAAAACATTACACAAAAATAATAGGTTCAGGCCCAAAAAAGAGGTCTCAGAGAGTTTACCTTCTTCTTTTTTCTTTTTTTTAATTCAAATGTTTATTTTTGAGAGAGTGAGCACGCATAAGCAGGGGAGAGGCAGAGAGAGGGGGACAGAGGATCCAAAGTAGGCTGTGCTTTGACAGCAGTGAACCCGATGTAGGGCTGGGACTCACGAACCATTGAGATCATGACCTGAGTCAAAGTCGGACGCTCAACCGACTGAACCCTCCAGGTGCCCCCAAAATTTACTTTTTTAAAAGTCTAAGCACGAACGAAATTACTTCCTATGACAGGTATCTTAAGGTAAGGACTCTTCCTGGAGAAGACATCAAGGCAGGAGCTCGACTACCCGACAGCTCACAGGAGAGGCCTGGCTGGACGGGACAGGGGAGCGAGGTCACCAGGGTGGAGGCCGGAAGCAGGCTCTAGGCTCTGAGCTGTCAGCACAGAGCCCGACACGGGGCTCGAACTCATGAACCGTGAGATCAGGACCCGGGCCTAAGTCGGCCACTTAACCAGCAGAGCCACACAGGCGCCCCCCTGAGTGATTATTTTTCTATCTGGGATATAGAGCAACAAAGTTCAAACTGTTAGGGAAAAATCTGTTCTATGGTGGCCGCAGGACCGATAAGGGAATTTTAGTCCCTGCCTGAAGACTGCCCTTCCGGGTTCTTGTTCCCACCCTGCTTGCTCCAGGCGCCAAAATACTACTGCTGGGAAAATAAGTAAAGTTCTGCACCATAAGATGGCCGATGGGACTAAAGCTCTAATTCCCAGCTTAGAGAGACTCCTCTTCTGGGTTCTTCCTGCCCTGTTTGCCGCACGCGTGCAAAAGCCATCACGAATGCGGAAGAGGACGCTATAAATTACCCTTCCCGCCTGCATTCAGTGCTCAGATCTCTGGAGAAAGATCTCTTCTCTGAGCCCACCAGTGTAAAATAAACCTCCGTCCTTCCAAGATCTCCGAGTGCCACTTGGTTCTTCTGCCGGGTGATCCAGACCAGTTTCCATAATAAAACAACTTTAAGCGTATGTATATTCACACACACGTACACACAGTGGCTTTGAATAACCGTTGAAATGGACAACCGCACCTCACGAAGACAAAGCCCCGCCCGGTGACCCGCGGATGAGGCATGACAGCACCACTTTCTGACCTGTCCCACAAGGCCGTGTGCCTCCCAGGCACTTGGGTCTATTTGTTGTCGCATTAACTGGAAGAAAGTCATGTTTCCCCAGTCTCCCTCCAAATGCCAAAAAAAAAAAAAGCCCATCGGAATCCAAACTAACAGACTCGAAATGGACCGGACACCAGCATCATGCTTCAGCTTCGTGAAAGCCGAGTCCTAAAAGCACATGATGCCATCAGGACCAGAGAAGACACAAACCACGGGACGTCTTCGGGAAAAGCAAATTTGTCTCTTTGGTCGCCATATCCGAGCCCCAGAGGGTGCCTGGAGGGTAAAAGACGCCTCGTATTTCCTGGGGGAGCAGTCCAGGACCCCTGAACGCCTGCTCAGACGGGCCGGAGTGCAGCCATTATTTAGATGGAGGCTAACACTTTCTGCAGCTCACATGGACCATCGCGGATATTGCGGGGGCATTTTCTATAGACCAACCCTTCTCTGTAGCCCACTCCTGCTCGTTAACGCACCAGGCCAGTGAGAACACGGGTGACGTGTATCTAACCACAAGCCGTTCTCTGTTTTAGGAGAGAATGCCTCTGGTCTCACATGCATTTGACTTAGTTACTACTTCGGGAGAAACCATCAAGGAGACATGATGTCACGACTGCCGCGTCCTCGTCACCCTCCCCCACTTCTCCACGGCGCACTCCCGTGGGTGGCGGCGTCCTTAAGGGTCCAGGCGGAGGGGTGTGGACACTCCCTTCTCTCTCCGGGGAAATGGAGCAGCTGAAGCCCGCACACATCCGGCCACACGTTCAGCAGGCGCTACAGCCCTTCCCTCTCCCTCACTGGGCTGCATTCTCTTAGAAAAGCCATTTAAACTCTCCAATTACACACTAAAATAAACCTCACCCCCAAAACTCCAGAATCTAGGAGAAAAGAAAGAATGGTGTACGTATAAGCTTCTGTTTCTACTCTCTTAGTCCCAGTTAAAGAGAAGATAAAAAAATGTGACTTCCAACATGTTAAATTAGTCTGTAAAAACTTTTGGTTTTTTGTTGTTGTTTTTTTGTTTTTGTTTTTGTTTTTTTCCAACGTTATATTTATTTTTGGGGCAGAGACAGACAGAGCATGAACGGGGGAGGGGCAGAGAGAGAGGGAGACACAGAATCGGAAACAGGCTCCAGGCTCCGAGCCATCAGCCCAGAGCCCGACGCGGGGCTCGAACTCACGGACCGCGAGATCGTGACCTGGCTGAAGTCAGACGCTTAACCGACTGCGCCACCCAGGCGCCCCTGTTGTTGTTTTTTTAATTTGAGAAAGAGAGACAGCATGAGTAGGGGAAAGAGGGAGGGAGAGAGAGGGTGGGAGAAGGGGAGGGGGGAGGCGAGGGTGGGAAAGAGGGGGAGAGAGGGAGGGTGGCAGAGAGGGAGGGTAGGAGAGAGAGGAGAGGGGAGGGTGTCAGAGAGGGGGAGAGGGGAAGAGGAGGAGACAGGGAGGGAGACCCTGGGTCCCACGACCCTGGGAGCATGACCTGAGCCGAAATCAAGGGTCAGATGCTCAACCAACTAAGCCACCCAGGTGCTCCAGAAGGAAAGTTCTATGTCTCAGAATTTAATGTAGTAGAATTTGGACTATAAGGAACTTTAGGCAAAAGACGTTACAACAAATTTTCTGTTTCCCGTTGCTGATTCATTGTGAAATTCACAGAAAACAGCAAACTAACCTTAACTACAAGGATATTATTAATCCCTCCTAAGGAAGGCGTACAAATCAGAACCTGCTGAGCACCCTGGCAAAATAACTGAATTTAAACGTCTCAAAGACTTTCGCGACCCTAATTCTTCAAGGACACAGTTAGTAACCGTGAGTAAAATGGATAAGAAAATAAACTCCCTAGGGGCACCTGGGTGGCTCAGTTCAGAGCCTGGAACCTGTTTCCGATTCTGTGTCTCCCTCTCTCTCTGCCCCTCCCCCGTTCATGCTCTGTCTCTGTCTGTCTCAAAAATAAACTTTAAAAAAATATAAACAAAAATTAAAAAATAAAAATAAAATAAAATAATTAAAAAAAAAAAGACACTCCAAAGAAGCCCGAGCCCGCATCACATGACATGGCATGCATGGGACCGCTCCATCAGAACGTGAGTGCTCTTGGGGTGCAGGAATCCGATGAGCCATCTGGGAGGGCTGGGGGCTTGGGGAGACCACAGCCGGGACAGGACAGGACTCCTCCGTGGCCTGGAGGCCTGGCACATTCTCAGGAACTGGGGCGGATCCAGCAAACGCATCAAACTCCTCAAGCTCCGTTACGTACTAAAACCCAAGCTTACTGAGATCTGACCGTTAACCCTCCAAGGACATTCTTCTTTTCACAAGACACACCAGTCCAAACGCCCTCAAGTCTCTACGTGCACAAGATGATCGTGCAGTCCCAGCAGGCAGGCCCTCCTCCCGACTCAATCCCAGGTCAGCAGGCTCCCTGTGAGCCAACAACCAGAGAAGGGACCCCACATCCCGTGCACGGGTTTTGCTCTCACCACGACAGACTCACACAAGCATCCTTCTCCACGCCGGAAAAGTGTCGCCCAAATTGTTTTTTGTGCCCTGACGCTGCTCAGAGCACGGGGCTATGATAACGAGCAAGACCGAGAGTCTGTCCCCATGGAGTCACAGCACCTGGAGGCCCCCTAGGGTGAGCAGAAACTAGCCGACAGCACGCTGACTTCATTAGCCTTAGCTGCCTCTGGCTACGACCCATCTGGTCCCCCAACAACCACCTGAACGTTCCGCTTCTCCTGAGGAATCCCTCTCTCTCGCCACCAGGACTTGGGCCCACGGGAGCCTCTCGCTCGAATGGAGGACGTTTTGCCAAGTGGCCGCTACACGCCAAGCACGGCGCTAGGCATCTTTGCCTGGATTTCTTCACACGACCTTCAGGCCGCCTGCAGAAGGCGTCCAGCCCCGTATCGTGAGGGAAGCGGCTCAGGCACGAGTCCAAGTTAGGAACGGCCAGCGAGGACCCTGTGCAGGTCCCGGCCTCTCCGTGCCGGGCGGCCTGTCACTTACAAACTCTCCAAGCACATAACGGGGCCCTCCCAGGGAAGGAGGGAGGGCTGACGGTCGATGCCGACATACCTGGTGAGCACAGCGCCTCGGGGGCGGGTTGGGGATCTCCACTTTGGTCCAGGCGTCCTTCCTGATACTGTAGGTGTAGAGTTCATTATACACAGATGTCTGCGAAAAAGAAGAGGGATTTAGTGTCATGAAGGATGCCTCGACACAAGCGACAGCAGGTGGAACATGAGATCTCGATCACTAGCTGTCCCCGGGAAACGGGTTTCGTAAAGCCATGCAAACCACACCGATGCAGGAGGCCTGGGGCTGGTCCCCTGGGAGCCTTCGGGATAATGACAAAGAAAAAGACTTCCCACCATGCCTACTAGGGCCTAAGATACCAAGATCCCTTGCTGCTCCCAAGCTGTCTTTCTCTTCAAGTCAAGCCTGGTTTTTAAAATGCATGAAAATTCAGAGTGGAAGATGAACAGGTTAAGTCAGACTCACAGGGGTCCTCAGCACGGAGGGAAGGGGAACTCGTGCTTTTCTAACTGTTTATACTCAACTCTGAAATACAGGTCTTTTGGGCCCGCTCAGAAATGAAAATTAGCTCTACAATTTACGAGCACTTTCCTACCCCACTGGTAGGGGTAGGAAACAACCCTGGGAACGCCTCACGGGCACGAACGTCAGCCCGAGTGAGCAGGGTGCCTGTCTAGCTCAAGCAGGCAATACGAGGAGTGACCCTAGAGGTCACTAGAGGGTCCTGGTGGCTGGTCCAGGACAAGGTCACGTGCCAGCCCTGTAAGCTCACGAGGCGGGACCGGTGCGTGTTTGCTATCGCTGCTTTAAATTAATTTTGCTCACAATGAGACCCATGGAAATTTGGGGGGAAAAGAAAAAAATATATACTTTACTTTTTGGCCATTGAAATATTCACCTCCGAAAAGGATTAATTCATCTTTGTCAGGATGCGCAGACAAGGAGGCGTGCAACCTACACGAGACAGAAGCAGGGGCCGGTCAGCGCGCAATCTGGCCACGCAGAGCCCCGCTGAGAGCCCGCCTCCCTTCCCATCAGAGGCCTTTATCGCCTCCCCGAAATCCCGCGGAAGAGAAGCCCGGCACTCTGAATGGAAGCTAAGGCCCCAACCCTTAAATGCCACCTCACGGCCACGACACCAGTCTCCCAGGACAGCCCTGGACCTGTGTGACTCACACAGCACTTGGCTAAAGACCATCAGGCAGTGAGAAGTCTAGGAGCTCCCGCCTCAGTGCCCAAATTTCCAGAGCAGACCTACACTTTAAGGGTCTATGCCCTTGAATCACAATCAAAACCGTTCTAAAAAGTCCAGTATTTGAGCATTTCAATACAGTATCTCCTTCCACCTAAAAAAATACAAATAAGGGGCTCCTGGATGGCTCAGTCCATTAGACGTCCAACTCCTGATTTCGGCTCAGCTCATGATCTCACAGCTTTTGAGTTTGAGACTCACAATGGGCTCTGTGCTGACAGTGTGGAGCCTGCTTGGGATTCTCTCTCACCCTCTCTCTCTCTGCCCCTGCCCTGTTAGCTCTGTCTCTGTCTCTCTCTCAAAAACAAATTAAAACATTAAAAAAATTTAAAATGTCAGTAACTTTGTGCTTATATTACACCTGAAAACAAAGGAGCAGCGGTAAGGAATCTGTAAACACCCCAGACCATCTCAGTAGGAAGTACTGAAGGACAGTGATGGGGGTGAGAGGACAGGACGAACCATCAGCGGAAAATACTTCTCTCAAAATCCCCACGAGCGGGGTCCCCAGGGCGCGTACTGCAACCTAATTCCGAAGGAGGTCGTCAAGGAAAACAAAGGTTTCAAGGTCAAATAAGTTGGAGAAATGAGGCAACTCTATCTTCCCTCGGGGATTTACTGTCCACAAAACATTTTAGACGCTGAGAAAGTTTGCAGGAAAGAAACCAGTGTTAAAATAGTGCTCCTGCTGTGGCAAACGGCCTCACAATTAAACACGAAATCACCACAGGACCCAGCAACTCCGCCCCTTGGTATGTGCCCAAGAAGACCTAGAACAGGCTCACCCAGACCGCTGTATGGCGACGTTCATACAGGATCACTCACGACAGCCAAGAGGTGCGAACAATGGCAGAGTCTGTCACGAGCTGACCGGACACACACAATGCTGTGCCTCCACGTAAAGCTACTGCTCTCTGAAAGGAAAGCAGCTCAGATTCCCGCTACAGCGTGGGTGGGCCTCGAGGACGTTGTGCTAAGTGAGCGAGAGAAGCCAGACACACAGGGACAGACTGACTGCACTTGTATGAAACTTCCAGAACAGGCAAACCAAAAAACCAGAAAGTGGAGGCCACCATGGGCAGAGAGGAGGGGGACGGGAGTGACTGCTAATAGGTCCAGTGCTCCCATCGGGGGTGATGGAAATTTCCGGAAATGGATTATTGCACAGCACCGTGAACGGAAGTCACCCCAGTGAGCTGTAGAGCTAAAAGTGGTGGAAATGGAAACTTTCACATTAGATATCTTTCACTACGATTTTTTTTTAATCTCAAAAGGAAACCAGTTGTTCCCAAAGCTCTTTAACGCAGAATCTTTTCTTCACTTAACCTACTACACTTTTCTGTGGTGGGGGCGCCCGGGGGAGCTCAGTGGCTGAGCGTCCGGTTCTTGAGCTTGGCCCAGGTCGTGATCTCACGCTTTGTGCGACCGAGGCCCAAGTCAGGCTCTGCGCCGACAGCACGGAGCCTGCTTGAGATTCTAGCTCTCACACTCTCTCTCTCAAACTTAAAAAAAAAATTTTTTTTTTCCCTGTGGAAAAGTAACAAGCACCCCCAGGAAAGAGCACCCAGGGCAGGCCCGGAGTGTCACAGGGTCGCTGGCGCACGCCCCGGGCCGCGTCCGCCTCCTGGGGCCTGCGTCCGGAGCCCTGCGGCTCTGAGGGAAAGGAGTGTATGGCCCTTCCTTCCCCCTTAAACTACAGCACAGCCAACCCCTGCGGGCACACGCGCTCACGAAACTCTGTAGTTTGCACGGTGTTTCCCAGAACACGATGGAGAAGGAAGAGGCGATGAGCCGCTAGGGTTACCGACCGGAAGACCTCCTATCTCAGCTCCAAGCACCACTCCCTTCTGCCAGAAAGTGTTCCCAGCGGACCAGGGAAGCACTAACATTCCAAATTATATCCTAACATTAAGCCCGGCTCTTGGGAAGACATCGCTTGAGGAAAAGTTTGAAAGCGTCAGCAAAAGGGGGACGGAAAATCCATCCATGTTCAAAGTGGCTTCCCCCTGGGTGCTGTGCACACGAAGCCTTGGACTCCCAGGACTCCTCTGCTTTAACGATTCAAAGGAAAACGCACGTCTACCACACATGGAACGTGCCGATACGCGGGAAAGCAAGCCGGACTCCTAACGTCGTTTCTCACGCAAAAACAGGAACAACCCGCAACCCTGGGGGCTGCTGGGTAGCTGTCCGCGTCATACCATTCTGCTCGGGGCCAGGCGCGCCGTCCCCCCACCTCGGAGGAGCCGAGGACTAAACCCCGTGTCCCAGGCAGGTGGGATCTGAGCGTCAGAGCCGTCACCTGCGCCTCCCTTCCGGAAGAGCTGGCCCCCAGGCCTCCACTCTCAGGCCGACGACAGCCCTGGTAAAACTCATCTCAATTGCAACCATGGCACGAGGAAGGGTAGTTTTGATCCTGACAGAAAGCAAACAAATCATTTCTCAACCAGTCTCAGGTGCTTGTGACGTTAACGCACCTCTCCCCTTCTCTGAAGAAGGCGGGACCTTTTCTAGGGTCACCTGGCCTTTCCCGGTTCCCAGCTCAACGCAGGCAATGTTTTCCCCCTACTCTGTCGGCAGCGAGCAGAACCCTAAATCAAATCATAACACAACCCGAATTCAGATGCGAGGGGACAAGGATTGGCACAGAAGAGGAAGAAGTCAGAGGAAAACCAAAGCCTGCTCATCCCGGCTCATCCCAGAGGTACCTGAAACCCTACGAGACCGGAGTCCCTCACGTAATTCACAAATTCTTTCAAACTGGCGTACACACATTGACGTCCGAAAGTCCCACTCGCCGTCAGGAACAAACAGCAACAGAAGATGGATGTGGAGGTCTGTGCCTGTGACACACAGCTTTGAAACGTTTTAAGAACCGGAGAGCTCACTGGGGTGACACTCTAGTCCATGAGCCGCAACCAGCTGGAGAGCTCTCAAAAGGCAAGGTCCCACCGAGCAGCTGAGCTGGGGGACCCAGCTTCACGTTGCTTGTGACAACCGGGCAGAAGAGCCTCAGTCCCGTTCTTCAGAAGAAAAGTCAAAAACCGTTGTGTGGGAGCTTATCCGGAACGGGAATGGGTTTTCATGATGAAAACATCCCACGTGCCTGGTTATTCATGACAACACGGTGCCACTTTACTTATTTTCTTAAACGTTTATTTTTGAGAGGGCGCAAGCAGGGGAGGGGCAGAGAGGGAGACAGAGGATCCTAGGTGGACTCCACGAGGACAGCACAGAGCCCGACGCGGGGCTCGAACCCACAAACCGTGAGATCACGACCTGAGCCGAAGTCGGACGCTTAGCAGATGGAGCCACCCTGGCACCCCAACATGGCGCCAACTTAAAGTGCTTGTCCAATGTACGCAAACCGTCAGAAGCCAGAACGAAGAGCCCTGGCTCACTTACCTTGGAGAAGGCGGGGGGCACGGTGTCTCCACGACCTGAGTCTTGGTGGCGTCCAGTGCCTGGAAGTGCGCGAGGAGAGCTTCCAGGTCTTCCTAAAGGCAGATAAGCAGTCACATCTGAGACATGCTCTTAAATTCCTCTTAATGCTTATTTATTTTGAGAGAGAGAGAGAGAGAGAGAGAGAGACAGGGAGAGAGCGAGAGGGAGGGGCAGAGAGGTAGACACACGGGGCTCGATCTCACAACTGTGAGATCATGACCTGAGCCTAAATCAAGAGTCGGATGCTCAACCGACTGAGCCCCCCAGGCGCCCATCAGGCCTGGGTCACCTTTCCCACTGTCTGCCCTGACCGGGGGCCAGTCACATCTGAGAATATGAATGTGTTCCTCCCATTTTAAAGACACAGAATCTGGGGCGCCTGGGTGGCTCAGTCGGTTAAGCATCCGACTTCAGCTCAGGTCACGATCTCGCGGTCCATGAGTTCGAGCCCTGCGTCGGGATCTGGGCTGATGGCTCAGAGCCTGGAGCCTGCTTCCGATTCTGTGTCTCCCTCTCTCTCTGCCCCTCCCCCATTCATGCTCTGTCTCTCTCTGCCCCTAAAATAAATAAACATTAAAAAAAAAAAATTTAAAGACACAGAATCTGACATTTGCAAAAGTACTCAGAGCTCGACCTTAGAGGCAGTTTTCTCGCAAGTATACTTAGAAGCATGCACGCTGCACACAGCACCCCACCTCACACCCTCACACCCCGCACAGAGGGCCCCCCCTCCATTCAGACAAGCCGGCCCTGACTTCCTGCCAGCACTTTCCACCGCTTCTCAGAAAGCCAGGCCGGGGCCGCCCGCCAGCACGCTCCGCTGTCTGCACAGCAGGCTCTGAGACTTCCCTCGCTCATTTGTTTGTTTCCTCCTCCTTTCCACCAACATAATAAAGATAAGCTCCAAGTAAGACCAGTCAGTCTGTTCACAACGGCGCCTGCACGCAGGGGTTCTGCAACTATCACCTGCAGCCAATCTGGGTTTATTTTCACAACTGCAGAAACAGACTTAGAAGTCAAGGTGCCAACTGACCTGCACAGCTGGGCGGCCCTGGAACCTGGTCTTCCTCCTCCCAGTCCAGAGTCTGCATCCCTGCATTCACTAGTGATTGCACACCCCCAGTGTGTCAGGGGAAAGTTACCTTCTGTCCTTGTCTCTTCTTGAAAGCTCGCTGTCCTCCCCTTGCTTGTGCTGGGATCTGAGATGTGTCCCCGCCTCCTTTCATGCTTCCCTCCCTCCCCATCCCACAGCCCTCATCCTGCAATGTAGGCAGATATCCTTCCTGCGCTTAAACACACTTCCAGGGGGGTGTGGGTGACTCAGTCGGTTAAGCGTCCGACTTCAGCTCAAGTCATGATCTCACGGTTTGTGGGTTCGAATCCCACGTCAGGCTCTGTGCTCACAGCTCAGAGCCTGGAGCCTGCTTCCGATTCTGTGTCTCCCTCTCTCTCTGCCCCCTGCCCTGCTCACACTCTGTCTCTGTCTCTCAAAAAGTGAATAAGAGTTAACGAAAAAGAAAAATTAAAAAAAAAAAACCAACAACACACTTCCAGACCATTCTGCCCATTTCATTTCCCACCCCACCTCCTCACTCTAAGCTCCAAAGGCTTTGTCTCAGCTCCTTTCGTCAGAACGCCACAGTCCTTGGCCTGAACAGCCACCCGCAGCCCTCCGCCTCCCCAGCGTGCACCCCTAGGCCCCCAGGAAGCGGCCACTACCTGGAACAGAGGGCGCCTTACTATCGAGCCCTTCTTTATACTTGCACCACACAAACATCTCCCTAAGTGACCCATGTTATTCCTCCACGCCACTGACGTCATACTGCGTATTCTCCGGCAACCTGCCCTTCTGCTCAACGCTGCCACAGCCTGATGAGCTGAATCCCTTCACTTCCGCCGTGGCAGAGCTCCGACTCCGTCCGGCGTCTCTACCCACCGTGCTGCTCAACGCCTGGGCCAATGCCAACGTTCTGTCTTCACAAACAATACTCCTAGCGCCACGTTCGTGCCCGTCTTCGTGCAGCTGGGGAGTTTTTCCAAGGCAAGCCTTCAGGTGTGTAACTGCACGTGGCACCTTCCAATTTTCTCCACGAGGACAAATTAGGACTCAGAGGGGTTCTACCAATTCTCACCCTCACGCAGCCCACGAAAACACCCATTATCCTGCCACTTTATGTGAGCAGTGGCCTAAAGGCTACAACCCTAACGCAAAACCGCTGTGTTAGCTACGCAAGACAGCTGACCCGCTGGAACTTTACAGAGACCTGGGTGGAGGAGGGAGTGTTGGGCGTCACAATCACTTCAGGGCTCCTGGTCCAAGGTCATTCACCTGAGAAATTATCTTCCTGGAGGCAGAAGGGCTTCAATACCGACAGCGTGGAAGGAGGAGGAATCTGCGTGACACCCAAGTGGAGTTGCCCACCGGGTATGTGAGACACGAGTTCTGTGGCAGGCAGAATTCCAAGCTGTCCCCAAGATCCCCCCTCAGTCCCCCGCCAGGAAAGGACGGGACGCACTCTCATGAGGTTACGTTATCTGACACAGCTGGCTTTAAGAAAGGGAGGTTATCCTCTGTGGGCCTGACCTGATCAGATGACCAGTGATCCTGAAGGTCTGTTGTGAGGATGAGTGGAGGCAACATGCAGAGTCCCAGGCCCCAGGCCCGACAGGTTCTCTGCACGGGGGAGCCGCTGCTACCGCCATCTAAGTACTGGGCACTGCAGAGAGGTGTGACGATGAGTGAACACCTGTTAACAGTTACCGAGTGCCCACTGCATGCCAAGCACCGGTCTAAAGATTCCCCCAAAACTAACCGTCTTTCTGTGCACAACCCTACCCAGGCACACGCGGCCACTAGCCCTACTTCACGCGTGAGAAACTGAGGCACAGACGCTGCGCAGGCAGGCCATGCTCCTCTGAGGTCTTCCGGCTCGTTGTGGCAGAGATGAGATTCAGACCCGGACCTGTGGATGCAGGGCCCAAGGACTTAACCGGTGACGAGCCTGAGAGCATCACAGCCCAATCCCACTGTCTGACAGAGGAGAGAGCAGAGACGTGAAAGGCTCGGAAAGAAAAAGGGCAACGTGGTTAAGAGCTCTGGAATGGGAACATCTGGTCAGATTACAGCCCCGTGCTGCTTCCCAGCTCTGTAACTTGTTAGCTGCTGATTTCCTAACTGTCAGGTGGGCATGCCAAAGCTGCCTGCCTCACTCGGTTGGGAGGACCGGAGCCCAGGCAGCAGAGCACCTGGCACACGGCAAACTGTCACTAACCACCGTGGATCACCCAGGTCGGGAAGTCCATGTGCAACCGCCGACGGAAAGCAGAATACTCAGAATACTCAAGGCTAAGTTCAGCACTGATCCATTCGCAGACCCGGCGGCGCGGAGACAGAGGGAGATACAGCGAGAGGCCAGAGGGAGAGAGAAAAAAAGGAGAGAGCGAGAGAGCGAGAGCGAGAGAGAAGTAGAGAGCGGGAGAGAAAAGGCAGCACTGTTGCCAACAACCGTTCTGGAATCCCCACAGTTGCACTTGCTCCCACTGACGCTCACGGCTCCGGGCGGCTGTGAGGGGCATGCACCCTACTTTTAAGGAAGAAGGGCAAGGCTCAGAAGCGGAGGCCCTCGCCCGGTCCTCTCGCCTCCCGGCCGAGGGAAGCCCGACGGGACCCGGGACCCGGGACCCCAGCAGCGCGCACGGAGGGGGCGGGTGGCTCGCGTGGAGAAGGCGCCGGGCCTGGCCGCCGGCCCCGCTCACCTCCTCCTTCCGCGAGCGCTTGGACACCTTCTTCTCCATCTTGGCGGCCGTCTTCTCCGCCCCGCGGCCCTTCTTCTCCTTCTTGCCCTTCTTGCCCATCGCGCCGGTCCGAGGTGGAACCAGGACTCCCAGAGGGGCGGGCAGCGAAGCAGAGCGCGGCGCGGCGCACCGGAAATACGCACTCGCGGGGGCGGGCGCGGGGAAGCGTCACTTCCGGCGCGTTACGCGCGTGCTTCCGGCCGGCGGCCGAAACTCCCGGAGCTGGGGCGCTGGGGCTCTGGGGACTGGCTGGGCGCCCTCGGGCTCGGGGGCGCGTGGGTGGAAAGCTGCCCGCCCGGCCGTGGGAGGCCCCGCCTGCCCTCCCCCTGGGGCCCCGCCGAGCGAGCTGAGGTGGGCTGCGAGTGTTTACTGGATGCGGCCAAATTACTTAGCCTCGCAGAGTGACCCGGTTGGGTGACTCGGGACGGGAGCCACATTTTGCTCCTAACCTCGGACGGACCCTTTTGCGGGTTTAATTATAACTTCAACTTCCTTCCCCAGGCAAATGTTCATACATTTGCAAGGATTTCCGGGGAAGACAGTACCTCCTCCCGCACGGGGTTAGGTACTGTGGATCTCGTGCTAAACGAGGAAACGCGTCCTGCCATCCGCTGTCCACCGAGTTTCCTCAGATGTCCCGCGATAGAGGACTTGCTGCTTCAGCCGTAGGGGAGGGCTGATGATCCCCCTCCAAGAGGAGTCAGCTCAGCAAGCCTGAGAAACTGAAACTGCCTGCTAGGAAATTGTGCTCTAGGATTGGACTGAAATACCCGTATAAATGGGAAATTTATTTGTAGGGCATGGAATATATGGCTTGGACAAGGTTCAATGAAAATTCTTAACATTACTTAGAAAATGCCATCTTTGGGGCCCCTACGTGGCTCAGTCCATTAAGCATCTGACTCTTGATTTCTGCTCAGGTCATGCTCTCAGGGTTCATGAGTTCCAGCCCCATGTCTGGCTTTGTGCTGACAGCTCAGAGCCTGCATGGGATATTCTCTCTCTCTCTCTCTCTCTCTCTCTCTCTCTTCCCCTCCCCACCTCAAAATAAATAAATTTAGAGAAAAGGAAATGTCTTTTGGGCTCATGATCAAGGAAATAGAGCAAATTAATGACAAAAGCAAGCAAGTATTTGGCAAAAAGAAAGCATAAGTCAAGAAATGATCTCGTTGCTTATTGTGCAAGTGAACTGCCACAGGGATCGGCCTCAAAGAAATTACCTTGGATCTGTGAAAATTAATAAAAGGAAACCTCACTAAAATGGAGTGGGGAGGCTAGACGGGGGAGCCACACCACTCAAGGTCAGTTACAGGAAGAATTCTCAATTATAGACCCCAATAGAAGAATCATCAAGAGGAAAGGATCATCAGTTACAGGTCCCATAGGGAAAGATGTACACTTCCATTTTCTGCGAGAAATAGACCACCCCGGCAACTCAGCCAGTGAGAAGTCATCATCACCCTGGATTCCTGGTTTTCTTCTATGGACTTTTGTTCAAAACAACCCCTCCCAGCTTCCTCCGCCATAAAATATGGTTTTGCCATAGCTTGTGTGTCCTGAATTGCAATTCCTCTGCCATTGCTGAATAAACCCCTTTTTGCTAGTAAAACAACGGGTTTTTTTTTTTTTATGTTTATTTATTTTTGAGAGAGAGACCATGAGCCGGGGAGGGGCAGAGAGAGAGGGGGGCAGAGGACCCAAAGCAGGCCCTGTGCTGACAGTAGCAAGCTCAATGTGGGGCTTGGAATCGTGAACCGTGAGACCATGACCTGAGCCAAAGTTGGATGCTCAACCGACTAAGCCACCCAGGTAGATTAACAGATCCAATCAATTACTCATCACCAAAAAGGCAGGGATAAATGCTTTTCCAACCAACCCCAACCCTTGTCCATAAACCTGCTTATTTAAAAAGAAAAATGAAGTTTGGGGAAACTATGGGAAGAAGAGGTCGAGAAGGATTCCGGCTGGAACTGTGTCCAGCGCTGCCTGTAGGTGATTAGGAGGCCATGTGTGATAAAAGGGGGAAAAAACAGAAGTATATCCGAGAAGAGCTACAGCATCTCACAGTGAGCTGGCTCCTGAGCCTCCAGACATAATCACCTCCAACAATGAGCTACAAAGGGCCAAGTCCTTACTATTGCCCCACTTTCCTTCTAGTGCAATATGACTTTAAGAACATACCTAATCCTTTTGTACTTTTCTAAGAATATCGGGTGACCTCGAGGCAATGCACTTGAAGCCAAATGACCCTTGAGTCCCAGCGCATCTGTAGGAAATTCATTACAGTGTTCCCCTCTTGAAGGCTGAGAAAGGGAGAGCATATTCCCTTTTAAGATTTAGAAGGGTCTGGTTGATGTAGGGCTTCATGCTTTTATTATCCGAAAGAATCTTGAAGCCAAGTTGGAAGGTGCTTGGACGATATTTGTCATGGTGATTTACGTGAGGTTGAAGTTCTCATTACCCAGACACAGAGAGGCTAGAACATTTAAAATGAGATCAGAATCCTAAAATGGTGACAAGATTAACTACGTAGTCCTATTTTAGTGAAATCATACTTTTGAAACTTTAATGGGTTATCTTACATCTAATATAACGTTAATGGCTAGAGTGTATCTTTTGTGTGGACAGGCGCCCTCTGCTGTCTTCAAGTTGAAACGCAGAACAGAAAACTGATTAACAATGGCTCGACCTCATTACCCTCTTTGCAAATAATCAGTGTTGTTGGAAAGCTCTCCCAAATGCGGTATGGATGTTGTGGTTCTTTGCATGTTTCCCATCTGGAAAAAATGAGAATATTAAACTAGCCCACTTACTACACAAAAGTCTTGGGAGAATCCAGCGAGATAACAACAAAAAAAAAAACTTAGAAAATTTCGCAAAATGCAAACCTAAGAGATTCTGTGTGCTGTGAAATGACGGCATGAAATAGAGCTGGCTGACAATCATTTCATGTAACAACATTAACTGGACTGCAGCGCGTGAACATTGTACCAGAATAGGAGATACAAAACAGAAGTCATGCCCACCAGCTTCCAGGAAGTTTGGTTCTAGCAAGACAGAGAAACCTGGATGTTCCTTAAATGCTTTGTGAAGTGAAGCAAGGAATAAGGAGGGATGGAGGAAGGGGTTAGGAGAGAAAGGGGGGAGAGTGAAATCAACCCGTTGCTTTGTACATTTGTCCGGTTTTCTAGAAGCCTGAAGGGAAGGGGTAGACCCAGTCTCCTTGCTACATCGAGGCTGACAGCAAAATTCTCTCCTCTCTGGGGTTAAAATGTGCTGCTTAATTTCCAAGTATTTGGGGACCTTTTCTCCTTTTTTTCTAATTTAATCCATTTATTTGAAATCTTTAAGAGTTCCCGGTCTCCTTTTGATGACGGTTCAGGTGCATCTTACAAATTGTAATGCGTTATGGTTTGACTTCCATTCAGTTCAAGATACTGCCTAATTTCTCTTTTGATCTCTTCTTAGACCCCTGGGTTACTTAGAAGTGTGCTATTTAGTTTCTAAAGACTTTGAGATTTTCCAAAGATCTTTCTGGAAAGTTTTTTCCCCCTCTACATGCTTTTATGATCATATCTTCATCCTTATTATCCTGCAGTTTCACTAAGATATATTTAGATATTAATTCTTTATTTCTCTTGCCTGGGGTTCGGTAGTCTTCCTGAAGCTGGGGACGGAGGCTATATTGTGTCCAGGAACTTCTCCCTCACTTTCTCTTCAGAGGATGCTATCTGTTCTCGCTCCTCTTGTCCTGGAGCTCCAGTTAAACACATGCCACCCCTTTCCCAGTCCTTCCCAAAACTCCTGTCCACATTTTCCATTTCTTTGTCTCTTTGTACCACATTCTGGATCATTCTTTCTTTCAAAAGTTCTATTTCTTTTCTCAAAGCTGCTAGGTCACGTGTATAGCTTTCTGTTCTCTGCAGATATTTTAAAGCTTGTCTTCTATTTCCTTAAAGTACGTATATTAATCAGTTTATGCTGCAGTAATGCTGCTCATTTCCTTCAGAGCACAGCTTGTGTGTATCCTTTGAAAGATTTCGGCGAAAGCGTCTTTCTCCAGAGGGGAATTGCCTTAGCTTCTGCCAGAGAACCATGGCGCTGCTGGTTCACGACATCCCGAGCCCAGATTCGTAGCCTAAGTTCTTTCTGACAACCCAGGCCATGCAAACGTAGGCTGAAAAATCCAAGGATGGGCAGGGATATGGTTATAACACCTCAGGATCTTTGCCTCCCCACCTGCTCAGCACTGAGGTGACGTCCTTGTGGTCCCCAAAGTTTTGGGGGGCAGGGTTGCTCACTCTGAGGAAACTCAGCTTAATCTGAGATCCTCTAACTTCTTTTAGATCCCACCTGGGTCAGCCTTGGGCTTGATGAATTTTGCCCCTGCCCTTTGAGGCTGTCAAAACTGAAGCCAGACATGGCAACGCTTGCTCATGCCTGGAATCAAAAGCCATTTGCAGAATCTAGTTTCTACCCGATGTTTTTGCTTCTAGTTTCTGTTAGATGCTGACCTGGTAACACTTTGCTCCTTGTTCATTTTGCAGTGTCTTTAAGAAGACTCGTTTCGACGTTTGCCCAGCATTCTCGGTTGCGTGGAACGGACAACTGGTCCATTGACACAATCCACCATGCTGCGGCCCAGCTTCCTGTTTTAAATCGTAGTTTTCAGGATGTAATCTGGAAAATACAGACAAGGCTAAGAAGGAAACTTCAAGGCCGCCCACAGGCTTCCCTCCCACGTGCAGCCACTCTGAGCATTTGTGGGACTTTCCTGGCGACTGATGATGAACAAAAATCTGCGTTGCCATTTCCCTCATCTGCTCGGCTCCTTGTACAGGACCCCTTGCCCTGTCCCTCTTTATCACTGGATCTCAGAGGCATCACATGAAGATCAAGGACAGTTCGGAGGTTGTCAGATACAAAAACTGGGGAGAGGGCAACACCAAAACCCAGAAAATAATGCCGAAAATGGAACGGAAGCCGGGAGCCATGCTGGATACGGTCGCTGCAAGTGCGGAAGCAACCTTGAACGTCGCACGGATGGCAATGAGTCCGCGAGCAGGTTGCAGTAAAGCCACGGGCCGTGCATGCTCTTACACTGAAGGTTACCAGTGGCAGCCCCTTA